GGTACGGGTACGGGTATACCCGATACCCGACGGGGATGTGGATGAAAATCACATACCCGATGGTTACGGGTATGGGGACGGGGATGAGTTTAACTCGCGAGGAGGGTATCATGAAACTCGTACCCGACCCGCCTCGTTGCCATCCCTAAGGCTTTGTTTGGATTTGAGGATGGAAAAGGGAGAGTGAAAAAGGAGGGATTTGAAGAGAAAGTGAGTGAAAAGTGAGGTTGTTTGAATTAAGGGAAAGTAAGTGGAAAGTGTAGAGAAAGTTTGTGAGTGAATTGATTGATGTGATAGATAAAAATGAATTTTTTAATTGATGATTTTGTAAAATTACTATTTTGCCCTTATGTTAAAAAAAAGTTTATAATTATTATAATTAAAAGATAAATATAAAAAATTTTAACTAAAAAAATAAATATAAAATCTTAATTTAAAAATAATTTAATTTAAATATTTGTTTTAAATTTAATGATAGATAAAAATTAAAAATTTAATAGATGAATATATAATTTACACTTTTACCGTTGGATTAAAAATGAGTATAATATTATTTATTGTAAATAATAATAATTACAATAAAATTATATTAATAGGTATAATTTATTAAAAAAATAATAAATAATGATAAGAATAATAATAAATATTAGAAAAATATTAAGAATCATAATAAATAATAATGATACTAATTATCATAAATAATAATAATATTAATAATAATAAATAATAATAACAAAATATATTATGATAATTATATTTTTTAACATTATTTTATATCCAGAACGGCCCGTTCTCAGACCAGAACGGCCCGTTCTGGGATTACAAATTAACCCACAATGGCCATGTGTGAAACAGCCGTTCCCAAAGTGGAATGGCCCGTTCTGAGTTCGCATATTGCTCATAAAATCCAGTGTTGGAACAGTCCGTTCTGATTTCGCCTGGAAGCGAAAATATGTCACCATAATTGATTATGTATGACACAATCGATTATGGGCTGACATAATCGATTATGCCTCATGTAGGAATGAAGCATAATCGATTCATAATCGATTATGGGCTAACATAATCGATTATGCTTCATTCCTACATGACACATAATTGATTATGCTAGCCCATAATCGATTATGTGTCATGCATAATCGATTATGCTTCATTCCTACCCTCCCTCATGCATAAAGAAATGAAGCTTACTTACAATGGCACAGTCTCTGCATGCATGGGGCAGGGGTATTATCGGATTTTCTCAAATCTTACGTGGCTTTCATCTCTTTTCTTTGCAAAAGCGCGAGGATGGCAACGCAACTTCTCCCGCTTTTCTTCGCCTTTCTTTCCTCGCAAATCAGCAGAAACAAACGTCTACTTTCTTCGCCTTTCGTTTGTCGTGAACAGTAAATCAGTAGAAACAAACACTACATAAAATTCAAGGTTTCTATAACATACACAAAGACCAAAAAAGATAATTATCTTTATTTTTGGACACTCAAACAAACCAAAAAAATCATTTGAAAATTGACTCGTAATTTTGTTAATTAATCAATGTATTCATTTTTCTATAACTAATAAATAAGATTTTTATACTTGAGTGACATGATATTTAATAATATAATATTTAAAAATAAAAAAATTTATAAAAAAAACACATGTAAATAAGATTTTTATTTATAAAATAAATGTCAATCATTCAAAAAAATATATGCAAATAAGGATTTTTTAAATGTTATTTTTTAAAATTTTATCTATATATGTTATGTTATAAAATATTAAGTCTCTTAGGAAATAACAAATCATCACACTACATTAAAATTTAACGATCAATAAACATTAAATTAGTAGTATTACTAAAATTTCATATCTTTAAAAATAAAAAACTAAATATCTTTATTTAAAAATATAAAAAAAATCAAAAGTGTGATTTAATGTTAAAATATTTATTTATTTAAATTTAAATAATATATATATTAAGTACAATATTTATTAAATATATAATTTATTATAAGTTTTATGCATCGCAGATACTAAACTATTAATATTAAAAGAAAAATCAATTTATACAAAAAAATCCCAGGAAATTCAGAGGAGTGTAAAATCAATAGGAGAGTTAACATGATGTACCACATCTACACTGATTCTGCATATACATACACACTATAGAGTATAGATTCAAAATTTGAAAGAGAAAGCTCTTCTTCCTTCTTCAACTTCAACACACAAACGCTAACACTTATTACAACCATGGCTCCCGAAATGGTGGAAACTCACGAAGCTGAAGACTCGGAAGTGGAGAGGTTGGAGTCTGATTTGGAGCAAATGGCGCACAAGATTCTCGAATACCGTACAACGCTTCCGGATCAGCTCAGCGCCACACTCCGTTCGATTCTCGATGCCCACAGACCCCTTCTTCCATCGGGTACCTCCCTTTCTAGGGTTTTTCTTTTCCTCACTCAAGTTTTCAAATTTAATCGAATTCAACACCATTTTTTGGTGGGGTGGAATTTATGTTTCATGCTCCTCTATGTGGTTCTGGGGTTGAAGTTAGTTTCTTCAATTTGTGCGTTTTTTTTTTGGGGCGTGGGTTTTTTGGGAAAGATTTAACTTTTATTTATTTATTTTTTTTGTTTGGGAATGTGAGTTTTTAGTATGATGAGGTTTGAAATGGGTGTTGTTTGAGATTAGCTCAAATATGGTTGTTGGTGTTGTAATTGCTCCGATAGGTAATGCTACTTTATTGTGTTTTAGAGCTGACTCTCATTGCTCTATCATGTCCTTTTTCTGAAGCTTTTTTTTTTTTTTTGTCTGGTTGGTCACATAAGCTTTTGGCCTTTAAGACCCAATGTTGCTACTGGGAAGTGCTATGTACTTGTTGTCATTTTGCTGGGAATATTGTTGAGTACTGGTTATTGAAACTGAAATCTGTTGGTTGGTCTTGGTAATGCAAATATGTTGCCATGATTAGATGAACGAAGAATGTAGCTCATTTGGTTGATTAGATGGCTGTAATTGTTGGTTTGGTTTTGTAGGGTAGAAAACCCAAATGTTGTTGCTGATTTTGGTCATCTGCATGTTGTTAAAGCCATGTTGTTTTGTGATGTAAAAATTGCAGTGCATGTACGATGAACTTAGCTGCTTATGAACTGGGGTGTTATAATTTCCTTTGAACTAAGCAGGAAAACTTTTAAGATAATCTTAGCAATTATCGTTTGCATGATCTATTACCTGCCTCTGCCTGGCTTCAAATATTTTCCAAACCAGTTTTTGAGTAATGAGATACACTTTGGAATTTTCTGTGCTGTAAACTGAAATTAGCTTCTTGGCATCATTGGTTAACATATTAACTATTCAAACTTGTTTAAAGTTCAAACTTCAAAGTGCATTTTGAATATAGTCACACGGGCAGGAACAAATACCATTTTCCAAATATTTATAGAATGAACATCTGACAGATGATATTTTGTTAAATCTTGTCTTCACGTTGGGAAATACCAAAGACTACTACGGAGCTTTCTGGGTGAGGGAAATTCCACAGAAAACGCCCTAGTGATTCTCACCAGCTTGTCTGACCTTGTGAACCTTGAGGAAGGGTGGCAATCCTCCCCCCTTTATTCATATCGAGTGTCTACCAATGGTTTTTGTCTTTATCCCCTGCAACATGTTTGAGAGTGGCATTCCTTTGTGATGTGGCTGTGTATTCCCTTGTGACAATGTTGGATGGAAGTGTGTGCACGTGTGTGCAATGGCATACACCTGGATTGTCAGGTGTCAGAGATTGTCTGGGGAAGTTCTAGAACCTTTGTGCTACAAGTTTGTGTGGTTCTGCAAAGATAATGTCAGCCTCTCCGTCCTGTGGTCAGGCAATTGGGGTGGGGGGTTTCCGAGCCGTAGACCAAGATGAACAGCAAAACTGCTACTGACTGAGCATTGTAGATGAGGACATGGGAGCATGAGGTATTTTTAGGTTGGCCTCCTGGCTGGCCGGTACATATTGAACACAACTTATTTTGTATTCCCTTAATTGCTAATGTCTTTTTTATCTTTCGCTCTATTTTTTTTTTTCTTCTAAGTGCTAGCAGTTGTTTTCCTATGGGTATTGTATGATTGTATGTATGTCATTACTGTTACATTCACTCAGCTGACGTGAGGTGACAGTAACAATATAAGTTTCAGATACGATCCTGGTGCCATTTGGCGGTTAAGTCTTGTTATGTACATGGTATTTATTTCTTTATCTCTTCCAAGGTGCAACAAGTTTTCTTTGCATTTTTAGGCACTGTATTTGACTTGACTGGGTTTATATTTTACAGGTGCATCAGAACAGAACATTTCTAGGGAAGAAAGTTCATCTGCTCCAGAAGATCCAGAGACTGCCAAGAAAGTAAAATTGCTGAATGAAAAGATCTCAAGCAATTGCTCAGCTATGCCAATTGTTTTGAAGAGGATGAAAGATTGCATTTCCAGAATTGAGAAGTTGGATTCATACACTGATGAAATGATACATCCGGCCTTCAAAAGAAAGAAGATTGGATAGACATGATGTATCATATATTAGTTATTTATCTGAACATCGTAGAAAACAAGTAATCCAGCATTGACCAACTTGGATTTGTCTAATGAAGCCACGTGTTCACTTTTTCCTTATGCTGCAAGTAGGAAGAAAGCTTGGTTTCAGATGTATAATATGTTAACATTGTTTGGCAATTTGTGGTAATATTTTGAAAAGAAATCCCCTGCATTCAGGATATGGAGTGAGGAAGTGAAGGAAATGACAGCATATTGTATAAACCTTTTTTTGATAACTGATATTGTATAATCCTTGTCCCATTGTATTAGCTTCATCATTAATAGTACGTAGGCTTTTTCATTTGTTGAACTTGTGTTGGTTTGAGCATATTATTTGTATGTAAATCTTTTCTTGTGTTGAACTTATTTTTGTCCTATTGTAAGCTTGTTCTTATCATAATATTACGAGTTTAGGTTAATTTCAATCTCATTTCAACCTCTTACAGAAACACCCTTACTAATAACCTTTGAAATTGAAAATAGTTTTCTTTAAGGAGCCCAAAATTGGGCACTTGTTCAACAATTTAGCTGACAATTCGAGTTTCGTTTTGGGTGGATTACAATGCAAGTTTTTCAAACTTGCTGAAAGTATTTTTGAATTATATTAAAGTTGATGTTTGAATATAATATCTTTTTTGTATATAAAATTTTAGAGTAAGGGATGGCATTCAGTTCAAAACAATAAATATAACATTGTGTGATTTTGTCTAGCTATTAATTAATTATGTGATTAATTGTTATTTTAGAGCTTTGAGGGTTAATGGACTCTAAAGTTAAATTTTCTTTGTGGTAGTATTTTTTTGTTAGAGTTAGTTGAATAAACTAAAATAAAGGTATATAAGATTTTACTTAAATCTATAAATTCATGTTTTAACAAAAGTTGAAGAGAAGTTAGAGACAAATTCTCTACAACTTGAAGAATCCTTCTACTCTTTTTTAATGAAAATCCTTTCCTTATCTTTCTCTATGGCTGATGTGAGAGGCTGAGTTGGTGATTCGAAGCTTCCAAAGCCAAGAATCTCAAGTTGAGAACCATGTGGAGTTTTCAAGCTCTTTTTTTTTTTTTGTTTTCCCATCTTCTCCTCCTTTTCTTGTTTTTGGATCAACTAGAGATGAGGAAAGCTTGTAATTAATTATTTTTGTGTTGTTGTCATGATTTGTTGTTTAAATTCATCCATGTATGGTTGGTTTGGTTGAAATTAAGATGAGTTAGTGGATTGTAAATGAGTTTTGGTCCCTTGGTGGTATTTAAAGAGAACATGATGATTCTTGAATTTTGATAGCTGCATATTATGTATTGAGTTGAATTCAAGTTGTTTATGATGCCTAAATGTTGTATTATGTGTTGCATGTTGGTATCTTTTGAGTTTTAGACGGATTGAGCCAAAATGAGACTCTGCCAAGTGTGAAAATGCTTATCACATTGGACACACCTTCATGATGCCAAACGTGACTCAAACTAGGGGTTATTTACTTTTATCACATTGAACATAGATTGAATAACATCAAGTGTGAGTAAAGGAAAAAGCCTCTGACTTGGTCACATCAGATGTGGTTTGAATAACGTTAAACATGAAGAGAGAGAGAGAGAGAGAGAGAGAGAGAGAGAGAGAATGTCTTTAACTTGGTGGCTTTGGGACCTAATGGAAGGGGGCGTCATGTGTGATCAAGATAGAGAATCTTTGCCTAGACAATGTTGGACACTAGTGTGGTGACTCTAGGTGCCAATCAAGTAAAGACTCTCTGCTTGAAATGAGATTGAACATGAATTTTTCCATCAAGCGTAGGTGGATTAGTGTGGGTGTGGACGAGATAGAAAGCTCTTTGTTACAATAGCAACAGGCGCACAAGGAAAGGTTTCGAGTGTTGGTTAATTGATGAAATATAATGTTTTACATTATTTACTAATCGAAATATGATAATTCAATGATATGATGAATGTTGTAAGATGTTATTTCATTATGTATTGAATTGTGATAATGTATGAAGTTGTTTGAGTTGTGAGTTGAAAGTTGTTAAAGTTGTATAGTTATAATATTTATGTAAGTTGATAGCTAATAAAGTTGTAAAATTACATGATGTTATAGTTGATTAAGTTATTAAGTTGATAGGCATATAGTGAAGATACATTTATTAGTTGAGATATATAAAATCTAGAGGAGAGTAAACGTTATTTTAAAAATTAAAATATTTCAATAAGTTGACTTTTGAATAGATAGTTGTTTTAAGTTGTTTCTTTTAGGTTTTATGTGAAATTTATATGTGGGAAAGATCAATACAGACATGTATAAAGTGAGTAACCGAGTAAGTTATAGGATTGAAGGCTAAAATCCCTAATATAATACTAGAAGGGTGCATAATACTTGGGGATAGTCAATAAACTAATCTCATATGGGACTTAGTTTATGCATGCTAAGGCCATGGTAGACTCATACCTAACTTATTCTATCTTGATAGTAGTATTAGACTTTCCTAGTTTAAGTGACAAAATTTAAGAAATCAATTTAAGTTGTATACTTGACAATCTTAGAGGCCTAACATTGTGTATACTTGACCTGATTATGATAGATCAAACGTTGTGGTTTGATAGAGTCAAGTTACTTAAATTACTCACATTTATTGTAAAAGATCTTCGTAATTGATATATGTGACAACATATTAGTTTTTTAAAGGTGTTTATGATAATTAAGTTGTTTTGTAAGTTGCTTTGATATTTGTATGATGGTGTTGTTAACAAGTTGAAAGTTGCTAAGTTGAGTTGCATTGAATGTTGATTCAGTTGTTTATGTTGTGTTGTTGCAAGTTTTTGTTGTTGTTATTGTTGTTTATTCTTTCACTAGCTTACCCTTTTCTTTTTTCTTGTGGTTGAAACTGCAATGATCATATTTTGTATGGAAGTAAAACATGATTAACAAGATAGCTTGTTTAGTTGGTGGAAGATCATATAATTGATGGAGTAGTTTTGGTTATGTCATTCTGATATGACATAATGGTTGTATAGACGCTTGACGGATGATTATGGATCTTTTGTGTACATAGTGCTTATGAATTAAAAAAAAAAAACTAATTATTCTAGAAAAAAAAGAAGGAAATTTTGACTATGCTATCCATGTAAAGGCAAAACGCTTGGGACATGCTTTACATTTTGAAGGAGTCACATCAAAGACATATATTTGCGTTTTAGTTGACTTTCTTGATGTTGTATTTACTCCATAAAACATGTTTGGATATAAGATTAAAAAAGTTACTAAGAGTTTCTCTACCAAAAAATATTCTTTATACATAAATATATTTTTAGTCTTTCAAGTTTAGGATAATTTTATTTTTAGTCCCTCAAATTTAAAATTATTATTTTTAATTATATAATTTTCAAATATCTTGTTTTAATCTTTCAAGTTACTAATATCATATTTAAAAGTGATAGATTGAAACAATTATATCATATTAATTGAGTTTAATTTGATATTTTTACTAGCAAAGACACTAGTATGTATATTTTATGCGATAATATTTGACGAATTTTCAAACAAAATTTGAGTATAAGAACTTAAACAATATTTTTGAAATTATAAGTATTAAAAAGACTAATTTTAAATTTGAGGAGTTAAAAATAAATTTACGTTAAATTTAAGAGACAAAACATATTCAAGTCTATTCTTTATTTTTAGTAGAAAAATTCTCAAAAGTCTTTTCTAAATTGTATCTAGAGTCTATTTGGACAAATAAATTGTTTAAAATCTTATTTAACAAGCTCTTATATAAGAGTTTAAAATTCAATAAGTTATTATATTTTTTAACAAGTATTTATACAATTTTAAAGTGTTTGAATGTATCATTATTTAAGCACTTATAAGATATTTTATTTTAAAAATTACAAAATTAATTTTTCACTAAAAATAAAATCAAAATATAAAATATAACTAAATAACTTTTAAAAATGACATTATACATCACAATAATATTAAAACTTAAAAAACTACTAGTCACCATTCACCTAATTTTAATTTATAAAAAATAAAATTAATAATAAAATATTATATAAATATCAATAACAAATTATTTCAGATTTATTATTTTAAAAAAATTATGAGATTTTTTAATAATAGGAGAATGTGAATTTTGGAACAAGAGATAATTTTTTTGGAAGAAGATAACAAAAATAAAGAGGAAAAAATACTTTAAAAAAAAGCAAAACGAAATTTTTTGGAAAGAATAATAAAAAAAATATAAATCTAATTTTAATAAAAGAGTGAAAGAAAAAAAATAAAAAATAAAAAATATTTTTGTTGGTGACAAAATTTGAATTTTAATATTTTCCAATAATTTTTTTTTATAAATTAAGTAATAGATTGTATTTGAATTATGAAGATAAATTCAGAACAGGTTATAAAATATTATATAAAATTGGTTAAATACTCTCATAAACATTTATAAAATAAAATAAATATAAAAGAAATGGTTTACAAATCCTTCAATAGACGTATATCAGCTCTTATACATTAATCTTTTTTCTTTCGCCTTTATTTGTTTTGTGTGGTAGAACGTTTGTCCCTTTACGTCATTTTAAAAAAAAAAAAGTTATCATATCAGTTTGTTTATTTTATTGTCTTCTTAATTATATATTGTTACTTTTATGTATTTACAATTTATTAATTTTGTTTTTATATTTCAAAATTATATCTTGTTGACCTTTTTATTTAAGACCACTAGTATCCGAACATTATATTGAATACATAATCAATACGATCACATTATATGATAAATGTTCTTGCCGTAAGTCCACTATTATTGTTAGGGTTAACATATTTGAAGTATTGTCCATTTTGATATTCTCTGGGCCGTTATGATTTTGTCCTTGAAAAAGCGCCTCGATAAGTTAAGGAGGGAAGATATTTATAAACTACCCTTAACCTCGACTCCTAAGCGATGTGAGATTCTTAGACATACCGGAACAATAACTATTCTTTTTTTTAAAATTTCACCATCAACTCTTAAACATTTGACTTGTAAACTCTTAAAGACTCAAACATGACATTTTTAGTATTCTTTTTTTAAATTTCACCATCAACTCTTAACCATTTGACTTGTAAACTCTTAAAGACTAAAACATGACATTTTTAGTTAAGTTAAAATAATATTTTACAAAACATCGGTTATAATACTATGTAAATCGATATCAATATAAAATGATTAGATTAATTTTATATTTATAATGATTTTCCAAATTTATTACAATTAAAACAGGAAATAAAAAAGGTCCAACAAGTGCTTTTTCTTTTATTAGTAACTCAAAGTGCTTTAAATTAGATTACATTACATCTGATGACATGTCTTGAACCAATCGAAGTAGTGAATCCTGCAATCTTAATCTTAATTCAATACAAAACTAATGCTAAAACAAGAGGATCATTTTGAAAACAAAGAGATTAAGACAGAACTTGGATGATTTCTTTATGCATTTTTTATATATAGAAAACTTCGATTAGAATTAGCGTTCATGTTGAAGTAAGGTGAAACTTATAATTTTCATATAAAAAGAATATTAAAAACACTCAATTAATTTTATCTAAATTTTACCTTCTAATTTATATATAATAAAATATTTTAAATTAAAAATTTTAAAGTAACTAATTCAATTTAAAAGATAAAGGAAACAATTTTACTTTTGTTTAACATAAAAAGAATTTAGTCTTGTGTAAACAGAGGAAGTGTTTTTTATAAAATAAATTAATACATACACTGACTCTATACTGTTATTTAACTATAAAGATAAATATATAATAATTATTAAATTATATAAGAATGAGCTTAAAAAATTATATTAATGTTTGAATGGCAATAAAAGTGAGTGTAAATAAAAAGAGAGAATATGTCCTCTGAGAACCCCAAACTTCGTTGTTTGTGTACAAAGCAGAGAGAGAAGAAGCATAACACAACACAACACAACGTATTGGTTGCTGAAACGCTGTTTGAGGAATCACCGAATCAAAATGGCTTCTTCGGTGTTCTTCACTCATTCCCATTATTCCTCTTCTCCTTCTTCCTCTCTTTTCCGCCTCCATCGCCAACTCTTTCTGGGTCCCACCTCTCTCCGATTCTCATCCTCCCATGTTGCCCCCGTTGGTATAAACCTTCTCTACCTTTCTCGTTTTTCGCTTCTGGGTCTTCTACGTTTATCCAAAAAATGTGTCTTTTTGTTTGTGGGTCTTGTGAAAAAGTATCAAAATATGTTTTTTTTTTTTTTTTTTATAATTTTAAATTATTGCGTGAGTTGTTTCTTAGTGAAGTTGAAGTTTTGAGTGGAGGGGTGTTGTTAGATTTTACCATTCACTGCAAAATCTGTTTTCTGCCTACTTGTGTTGCTTTAAGATTGGTGGTTGTGCGTGTATTCTGCTTCATATGGTCACAGCTAATCACGTTGATCAAGTTTTTAGTTTGTGCTTGTTGGTGTTTGTTTATTGATTGGTATGGTGTTATTGTTGGGATGAAAGTTAGATACAGTTTCTTAGGTGCTTGTGGGACTGTTCTCTATTCAGAATTAGAGTTTTATCAGTAATTTATATAATAAAGGTTTGCAATAGAAGTCAACAACAGGCATATGTTACTTATTTGAAGAAACTCCAATTTTGATTGGAGAATAACGCTCAAAGCACCAAACTGAATCTATAAACTTGGTCCTTATTGTTGCTATGGTTGTGGTGTGAGTATGTTGGAAGAGCTAGGTCAAAGGCCAGAATGACTTTGATCTGTTTAGTTCCAAATTTTGAAATTACCGAAGGAGATTTTGGATGGCAATATGGTCTTCTATTTATGACTTAGTAATGTATGTGGCTTTGGTAGATGCATAAGGTGTCTTAATGACACTGCTTCTCTCTGAGTTTGGCTTAGGTTGCAGTTGATTTAAGATGTCTTGTACCTAAATTGCCCTATATTTGAAATGATGGTTTGTCCTTTTGAAGAATTTGAGGGGCCTTCTTAGTTGGTTAGATCAACATATTAGACTTAGGTTGCGTTTGAAAGAGTTTATTTACAGATTATTTAAGCTTATTTTATGACATAATTACTTGTGTATATGTTTGAGAGAGCTTATGAAATTAACTTATGATATGTGTTGTTTTCAGCTTATTTCAATGAAAACAGTTTAACCCTATTTCTTCTTTGATTACTGAAACAATTTATTCACAAGTGCCTACATGATATACGCTTGCGATTAGTGCTTAATTAATTGTTTACCTAAACACACCCTTAGTTGTGCAATTATTTGATTTTTGAAAGGTTCATTTGTTCTTTTAAGTTTTAAGTTTTAACTATTTGCTTATTGTTGTCATTACTTATAAATTTAAACATTGTTCGATCTTATGTTTCCTGTTACACGTCTTTTTCAGTTCATTTGAATGCACAAGCCCTTCCTCTGCTAGCTATTGACCAAATAAGGTTTTCTATTCGTGACTCCATCTGATTTTTTATAATATGTACAGCTGCTATGACTACGGATTCTTCTGCTAAGGTGATTGATGGAAAAGCTGTGGCAAAGCAAATCAGAGATGAGATAACGGCTGAAGTCTCCAGGATGAGAGAATCCATTGGTGTGATTCCTGGGTTAGCTGTAATCCTTGTTGGAGACAGGAAGGACTCTGCAACTTATGTGCGTAACAAGAAAAAGGCTTGTGAATCTGTTGGAATCAATTCTTTGGAAGCAAATCTGCCTGAGGATTCCACAGAAGAAGAAGTTTTGAACTATATTTCAGGCTATAATGACGACCCTTCAGTTCATGGCATCCTTGTTCAGCTACCCTTACCCTCCGTATATTTCTAGATCTCTAACTTTACATTTTCTTATTTTGTGCAAAGTTTGCTAAATTGTCTCACTAGACTCTTTATATTTTGGTCTGAACTATTCCTAAGTTCTTAGAGAAGACATGGTACATTTGATAACTCTTATTCTTGTAGCCAAGTTGTTGAAACCTAAACTACAACTATAACTTGAAGAATTTTTAATGGAAGTTTACTTAGCTTTCCTTGGCCTTGTGACAGCATATGAATGAGCAAAACATCTTGAATGCTGTTAGAATTGAGAAGGACGTAGATGGTTTTCATCCATTAAATATTGGCCGTCTTGCAATGCGTGGAAGAGATCCTTTGTTTGTTCCCTGTACACCAAAGGGATGCATAGAGCTACTGCACAGATACGATGTTTCTATTAAAGGAAAGAGGGCTGTTGTGATCGGTCGGAGCAATATCGTAGGAATGCCTGCGGTG